AAATATTGCGAAGTACTACGCTAAAAACATAAATATTGCGTAACCTTACGCCGTAATATTTGCATAAGTTTACAAATTGTAAATCTTACGCAATACTTCGCATTAAAAATATTCCTGATGTATGAGGTAGAATAGGAGAAAATCTCTAGACAAAGACGATTAATTTTAGTCTCTTCTCATAATATATATTGTTTATATTGCCAGATCTGAAATTCCCTTTTATCAATAGATTGGAGAATTTCTTTTCTTTTCACATGTTCATTCAGGATAGTATTTCCAAAAATACATCTCTTCAAGTGGCTATCATGATAGATACGAGCGTTATAACCATTTCCAGATATAAAAACTAAGGAGTCACATATACTACAATAAATATAATTGGTTAGTTGACCAGCGTGAACTTTTTATAAAGCTTTTCACACATTACAATATATCCATTCTTAGAAAGGATTCTTGGATTCTTTTCAAGTATTTTCCTAAATGGATCACAGATACAAGAGCATCATATTTCTGGTGTTTCATAATCACATCTTTTTGTTAAAGGTCATATTGCATCAACTTTTTTTTCATATTTTTCAAAGTTTTCATCACCATAGCTTACATGATGTAGCTTAAAATAGGTTTTATTATCTAAATCCATATTAGTGTTTTGCTAGATTATAACAGAATATAACGATTTTATTGATTTATAGTGTTTTTAGTGATTTTAGCTGATTTAGCAATATTATACTCTAATAAATATCAGATTCATTTTTATTCAAATGTTTGGGTGAAAACAGATTCATATTTTTCCCCCAATATCATGATTCGGCTAAATTAGATCATAAAATTTGTATTACATGTGATCTTCACCAGTTTTTTGATAGTTCTAGGAGTGTTCCAGAAGCTGGCGAGTTTTTATAAATCACGAGATGAGTCTTTTTTTCTCATATTTATTCGAAAAAAAATAAATATATCAATGATTTCTTAATATTATTATTAACCAACAAATGTTATATATAGCTGATCATGAGTGAAGCAAATTATCAGGGCAGATCAGCCAATCAGATTTTGCGCAGTAACTAAGATCCATTAGCCCCTGTTCATTTCTGGATCGGATTGCTCAGATCGGTAAAATCAATAACCAATAAAATTGTAACTATAATTGAGCACAATTTTTTGATCGGATCGATAGTTATTTTGTTTTATTGGATTTTAAAAATTTTGGTTTAGCGGGTATTGGAATAGTATTAGTAGTAGGTTCTATCGGTGGTATAAAAATTCTTGTGGTTTTGGGGCAATTGAACGAGAGTTAGACATTTTAAATTAAACGCGGTAAAATTTAAAAATAAAATTTTTGCGTTTATCGTTATCTCATAAAATCAGCTAATTTATTAAAAATCGATCAAGGTGAGTAATAAAAATGTTTGTTCGTGTTGATCGCTCACCTGATCGTTTCAGTAGCCAATAATTTTTGATTTCTATATCCAGTCTGATCTAGAAACGAACAGGGCTGTTATTATTCGATTGATCAGTGTGCTACAATACGGTTTTATTTTATTTGATGAGCAGTTCACAACATATGTATGAGTTAAAAAAATGCAAGCCCTATTGGGAGAAACTTTATTAATCACCGAATTATGACAATACTACATATAAAAAAGTGCTGAATTTCAAGAACGCGCCATCATGGCCTCGATCTAAGAATTCTGTGATCATGTGATCGCTACTTAATTTTATCAACATTGGTAGGTTATTTCGGCTGATCGTTCCCTGAGGGAACAGTTTTTTTGCCAAGAAAAATCTCTGATGCGTTTATTGGTAATAGTGGACAATTCTCAATGAAAGCAAAATAAATTTATTCCAATCAGTAAATGCATTTTTTCAATGCATAGTTACACATACACTTAAAATGTACACAAAGTTAACGATAAAATTTTGTACACAATGGTCACTTCTCCTTATTATCTAATAGCAATACATTATTATTTTCAATGGTTATGAGTAAAAGCTATGTATCATGTGCAGAAAAAAAGATATCTGATCATTCTTTTAGCAAATTAATATTTTGTGAAAGAAAAATATAAGCTACAGTGAAAATAAGAACCTAATATCTTTTAAATTAATAGTGGTAGTTCTGAAGGTGATCTACCGAGACATAGAGACTTAGGAGACAAAGGCTTTTATTCTTCCGCTTTCTTTGCCTTTGCCAGTGTATCCTGTACTGTTGTTGTATGAATATGGTTATCTTTAGTTGTGGATTTATTTATTCCTTTAATTGTTGACAGGACATCTGCCTGTAATAGCAAAAGTCTTTATTATTAGTATTTAATAAGAATGTTTATGAGTATTCATTTTCAATCGTTACCTGCCAATTCATCAAGTCCACCATATCTTTCGCAAACTGCTCAAAATCGTCAAATGACACTGGTATTTTTATACGTATAAATTGTTGAAGTATGTATATTGATGGTAAAAGTCGAACTAAATACTTAATGATGATGTAGCCATCTACAGAAAATATAATATACGTTAATATTTGGATTTTTCTATTACCTGACTCAACTTTAATACTCACTGACTGCTTGTATTAAATAAACACGTGCTTTGTACTTAGATACACCTTGTAATAATATCTTATTCAAAATTCACATGGAATTTCGACATAATTTGACCTGGTTACCATCTTCTTTTATTTCGGGTGCCTTTCTAGCGAATGAAAACTCTACAATAATTATGGCTTGACTTTTTTGCGTTGTCTTAATTATCTTAAAAATCCTGTCAATCTTATGTTGTTTTGTGTCAGGAGTAGTTAACTCGATCCTAAGTAAAATAAATAAAGAATTAAAGGCATGATTGTTAAACACTTCAAAATTTATAATTGACACTTACCATCTGACATCCAACACATCCTGATGCATTCTGAACAGTCGATTTAAAATGTATACGGTAGTGTCTATAGCATACATTCTTTCAAGATCAAGGCTTTTTGATTCAACCCTAATTGGTGCTTCCAGATGGACAGAGCTACTCGTAGATGTATGACTGTAAGTAATAATGTTGATGTGAAGAAATGTGAAGAATTGGCTAGCATAAAAAAATTACTTACAAGTGTGTTAGTATTTGCTGGGCAATATCATGTGCCTCGTAGTAGCTAGGATCAAATCTTCTGATAATACAGGACTTGCGAACAATTGTTGGAATTTTAGCTCTGATACATTCATCCTCAGTAAATTGATTAATGTACTGTGAAAATTCAGGAATTAGATCCCAACTTTTTCTCCGAAGTACTTCTTCAAGCCAAGTAAATTGATTAATATCCAAAGAATTTTTTATCTGCTTGTGTATCACATCTTCAGAAAAATCTAATATTCTGTTAAGATGGATTGACGTCATAAAATTTTTTCTGGACTTTATATCTTTTTCTTGGCGGAAAACTAAGATTTTGAGTAGCTTGTTTCGAATTTCTATTTCGTCCTATGAGATAGGCAGGTGTAAGCATAAATTTATACAAAATGAAGGTAATAAAAGAAATAATACCTGAGAAAGGTCTTCAAATTCTTTTGCATCATTAACTTCTATACCACTCTCTTCTGAGTCACGCTCTTCTAAGTTATCTGTGTTTTCATCATTAATATAGTCAGCTTTGGTCTTTTTTGGTGGTGATTCTTGCGAGTTTTCTTCATAAAAATGAGCTCGTTTATGTTCTAGCAGTATTACCAATACTTATTATTATTCCAAGTTGGAGAGAAGGATGATACGAATACAAGATATATTGAAATTTAAATGTGTTACCAAAACGTAATTTATCTTTAGTGACGTTAAAGATTGTCTGGCTAACATCGTCATGTAAATCAGACACTCGATTAAGAATCTTGTTAGTATTAAGATCCACAGCCGTTCTCAGCATGTTTAAGAAAGACAAGCTATTTTGCCAAAGACTGGTGACTTTATCCGAATTTGCCTCTTCCTAAATGAATTAATAGAAAGGAAAAATCTGATATTGTTAGACGTATCTAACATATCAAAGTGCAACCCGCCAGACGTATCCGTTGGGCTTTAAGACGTATTCTAGCACTTCTCAGGCAAAGTTAGTAATAAAAATAATTCCAAAATTCGAAGTTGTGTCCAATACTCTTTAGACATATCCAACGTATCAAAGTACAACCCGCCAGACGTATTCGTTGGGCTTTCAGACGTATTCTAGTACTTTTTGACCTTCGTGATATTCCGTTATTAAAAAATTTACAAACCTTAAAATTATTTAATACCCGTCTTGCTGACTCCTGGGTTGCTCCAATATTACAATTCTCTAGTAGATTAGGATTGTTATTAATTGCTTCTAAATATGTCTTATAAATACGGTGCTCCTTATCCTTACTTCCAAAATCTTTAGCGTATACCATACTCCATTGAAGAAAATCAACCAACTCCCACGCAATATTGCTTACAAAATAAGAAAGTCTTGTCAGTTTGAACATTTTTTCACATTTTTTTTTAGAGTAAAAACAAGATGTGTATGTATTATATACTAATTGTCACACAAATATGCAACCTGATCAGTCACATGCGAAAGTTGGAATTCGTTATTAAACTGATCCTATGTTCTCAATCGAAGATTTCGGAAAAAAAGAGCATTAAATTTTTTAGCTTCAAACAGATGTAAGGAAGTAAAACTTTCTAAAAGAAAGTTTAAGAAACGAAAATTTATTATTGATATAGTATATAGCTAATCAGAAAATGATACATAGCGAAAATGCTAGAGAAGCGAATGAAATGTATGATGCTATCAAAGAGGGAGGAGTACTCAGATCTCATAGGAAGACTTTCTTCTAATTAGTTTAAAATATTGATCAGCATTTCTATAATAAGTATAGGGATAGGCGTTAATTAACCGTTAATTAACCGAGGGATAATTAACCATTTTGGTTAATTTTGAATTGACCTGTTCATTTCTAGATCGGATCGAATTGACCAAAAATTGAAATCAAAAATTATTGGCTACTGAAACGATCAGGTGAGCGATCAATACGATCAACATTTTTGTTACTCAC